ATTTGATTAGATTAAGAAAGTTAGAAAAGTTAGTTAATTATAAAAATAATAATATGTTTTTCCTAAAACACCATAATTATTTTTCTTAATATCCTCCCTTTCTCCTTCTTCTACTTGATTATGATTGAGAGAGTATTTATAGGGGTAATTTAGGAAAAAACTGATACATATGAGAAATATATTTTATATTTAGGACCCAAAATTAACTTAACAATAGGTCCTATATTAAGGCAGAGGAGTATAAGTTTTTCGGTGCTTCAAGTTTTAACCTTATTTTGATTTGTATTTTACCTCTTTCAAGTTTAAAAACCATAGATTTTAGTCTTTTTAAGTTTTTTTTTTCATTTAAAACATTGATTCATATAATTCAATAAAAATTTAGACCATTTTGTCTCTTGATTGACCAAACTCTATGGTTTGAAATCTGAGAGATCAAAATCAAAATAAAAGCACATTTGAGGAACCAAAGATTATATTAACCCTAATGAATATATTTTTATAATATGGGATTGCAAGGGTCTGTTTTCTTTTGCGTTTTTGACTTCCTGGGTTCCCAAAGCCTATACTTATGTGACTTATTCAGTCCCTTCATTAGCATATAGTTTTTTTTTTTTGGGGTCTGACTCTTCATCAGAGTAGTTAGTTATGGATTACTTTCAAAGGATTGTGTGTCTGTTGACTCAAAGTGTGATTAAAAATATATAATTGCGTTGCATTATTATTTCCAATCACTAACAGATTGCCCTTATAACTCAAATGATATTAAGTACTATCTTTCTTAAGGTTTTCTTAAGTATAAGGTTGCGAGTTTGAACATTTTATAAAGAATATAATGGGTGTGTGGGTTGTGATTTGGGGTGGGGTGGGGTGGGGGGAACACAACCAAGATTAAAATGATAATAAATTATTCTCAAGTATAGTTGATATATAAAGACTAAAGAGTGACATGGTATCAAGAGCCATTCGATGTAAATTGAAGAATGGGAAGATATTAAGGGAAATATTATTAAAAAATGAAGTCTCGCATCTAATATTTAGAAGGTATATCTGGTAAAAAAAAAGAAGAAGAAGGTATATTATAAAGCTTGAGACGAGTCTAACGAGGTGGTTTAACATATATTGGTGAAGTAGACAATTCTCAAACATAATTAATAAAGAGAGTTATCATGAGGTCCTAAGAAAGGGATTTAATTATCAAGAAATTTCAATAACAAATGACTAGCATGAACTTATTGTCATTCATATCTTGTAACTTGTCATTACGTATTTTTTAATTATCAATAGATTTTAAAATAATTAAATCCCTTCTTTAGGACCAGATTATCATTCTCCCTAATTAATACTCTCAATTCTTATTGCAAAGACTCTTAATATGTTTAATAATATAACATGATTTATTTAAAGCATTAATTTTATTTCCTAGTATTCCCGACTAATTATAAAACTTCTTAACTAGTTAAGTAAACTCTTCTAACAAATAATTTTATTAAGAATAATTTTGATATTTTATAACAAAAATAACTAATTTTGTTAATTTATATAAATTATTATTAAGTACTTATAATAAGGATGAGCATGTGAAGTTGACCAATTTCCACTACTTTAGAAGGCAATAAATATCAAAATTGTATATCTTCATATTTTTTCTTTTTTTATATGATACAATTTAAATATACGCATGCACACAAATATATTAATGTTTGGTTTAAATCGGAATCTCATCTAAACATTACTGGTGGCGTTGTTATTGGAATAAATGGTCATTAACACCATATTTCCTTTCAATCCTTCCCTTCATGCATAATTTGAAATTGAAATATTTGATTCTATTCTTTCTTATGATTAAGGAAAGAAGATGAAAATTTATTCATCGGGTCAACTTTCTTTGATATGAATGCTTCGTATACTCAATGCCTGTTTGCTGACGCCTTTGGTTTAATTCAGAAATGGAGGGATTATCCCATGCGACAAGTTGAAACATTCTAGTAGCTTGAAGTGAGCGCTGCAAAAGGCAGGCTTTGCCGCTAAAGTCGTTTGGTGACCCCAAAACAACGAATGTGAAGTTAGGGTGTCCATTTACAACAAATGTGACTAGATTAGCTTTTAGAAATGATTGCACGCTATATTGAGTATATCAGAGATATTTTATTTTAACTTGAGTGAAAATATTTTTTAATTAATTTCAGAGGTATTCGAAACCCCCTTTAGTGTTTATTTAAAATTACTTATTATAAGCAAGTTTATATAAATCAAAATCGAGATAAAACTTGTTCCGCATACTTAATTCATATACTATGAATTATAATTGAAAGTTGTTTTTGCAAACTTCAATGGTAATTTCGAACAAATCCTTAAATAGTACTCTTCCGCTCCTTAATAGAAGACTTAATTGTTGAGTTGGTTTTGGTCCTAAATATAAAACCCATTTCTCATATTTATCAATTTTCTCTAAATTAATCCTATGAATACTCTCTCAACCATAATCAAATAGAAGAGGAAAAGAGAGTATTAAGAAAAATGATTATGGTATTTTAGGAAAAACGTGTCACATTTCTTATAATTAACTAATTTACCTAACTTTCTTAATCTAATTAAATTAATTAAATAGGTCTTATATTAAGAATCAGAGGAGTATTTGGCAATACAATATTTTCATGGTAAACTACTATAAAGGTACCTACTCCTATCAAAGTAAGCGACCTAATTGATGGCTAAGCCCAATAATACCACCAAATGAGGAAGGTTTTGTTTGGATTAGTGTTTAAAATCATTTATAAGTATATTTTTACGTAAATCGAAATAAAATTTCTGTCATATTTTTATTTCATATTTTATATATCATAATTAAAAAATTACTTATAAATCATTTTAAACGAGTATTAAATAACATTAAATCATGGCTTGTTTCCAAAAAAAAAAAGACATTGAATGTGGCAAAAATAGTAAGCCTACATGATTTCATAAAATTTAGAATTAGGCCCTCTGGGTCAAAAAATAGGGCCCCGCTACCAAAAATACAAATGTTGAGAATGATGAACGGACCGGGCGCAAGCTTTTGGGATTCATTTTTTTTTTTAAAAAAAAAATCATTAATCTCATGTATCACTGAAATATTCAATGATACCCTACGTTACATAAACGTAAGGTTTTAATTCTAAATTTTGTTCAGGTCAAAACAAAAAAAAAAATCTAAAATTTGTTCATCTATGAAAGCAGTTCTGAAATTAAAAAAAAAAGAAGCTAGATTTTGGATTATATTCCTCCGGTTCTAAATATAATATCCCTTTTGTAATATAATTTACACTACAAAATGAGTCTTATATTTAAGACTAGAGGATTTATTTTTTTTCTTTCCCAAAAAGAAATTTTCATTAATTTTGGATTGTCCATAGTGAAAGGAACATTTTCTTCTTTTTTTCATACAAATAACACATACTACGATAGGACAAACATGCTCTGGTCAAAAAAACCTTACATTATGTGCAAATGAAAAATGGAGTGTTAATTTCTTTAAACAAATCTCATTATCTATTCTCATATATTTTAGTAAGATGATGCATAGTTGATTACAATCGAGGTTCTAATATTCATAATGAAAATTTTCATTTTTATAGTTAAGCTCTTAGATCTCATTTGATAGGAAATATTTAATATAAATAATCCTATAATTTTATTATTATTATATTTTATTTTTCAATGACTTAGCTCTACTTTTACTCTAGTATAATCAAGCTTGCGCTCCTTAGCTCTACTTTTACTCTAGCATAATCAAGCTTGCTCCACCATTTTTGTCACAAGTGGGTTGCGTCTAAGCTCCTCAACATTGTCATTATTTCTCACATCTCTTTCTCCTATTAATTCAAACTTTTTTTGTCATTACTTTGCTGTAAATGGTAGTAGAGTTTGTTAAAAGCATATAATTTTCTATATTCATAAAAAAAAATTAAATTTGTTTGAAGTAAAATAAGTATATAGAACTTCAAAAAGTACCTAGAAGAAGGGCTAAATGCCTAAATTGATATGCTAATATTCATTTGCAAATGTTCATAATCATCACAACCCGCTTGTGATAATAATGTTGTGACAAGAATGAGAATAAGCTTGATTTTGGTTTCTCCAAATAAAAAAGCCTGATTTTGTTAAGGCATATACATACTTAAGTCATTCAAAAATAGAATATCAAAATGATAACATTGACCCTGTCAAATCAAAATAGAAATACTATCTAACAATTTAAATTTAAAAAGGGCAATTTTTAATATTTAAGGGTCTTCACTTTTAGAATCATTAGATGTTATTGGAGTTCACTATAAAGTTTCTAGAGGTTTTGCTAATTTATTTGCTTAAGATTTATTATTTAAGGGATTTTAATTTAAATGAATATTAGCATGATTGGTGATGTGTAGTTTACAAGTAAGTAATATGTCACAGAAAAAAATACCAACATCCTAAAAAAAGAATTTATACTAGAATACTGTAAGTTGCAAATCGGTTTTGTTGAAAGCAATAGTCAGTAAGCTCAAAAAATTGTACCATTTTTAGTCCTAATTATAAGATTTCATTTATAGTTTACAAACGGAATTTTATAATTAGGACTGGAGATAATATTATTATTAGAAATTAATGTTAAAGTTTTAACGTGAGGTCTTTATAAAAGCATATTAAAGTTTTGATTTCATGTAAAGTTACCCATAAATTCTCTGAGTGATAAATTGTGTGACAATAATTTTGCTATGTTATAATAACAAAATTGCATAGGGTCAATCACTTAAGAATATCCCTTCCTTCCTTTGATCGTTTGACATAACAAAATTATAATGAAAGTTATATTGATTCAAATTTCATTTTGCATTTGGGAATCTTTAGGGATAAAAGTGGACTATTCAGGTCCTGTTATTCTTTTTTCTTCCCCCAAAGTTCAAGGTTCCTGTTATTCAAATAATATGAAATGTTCAAAACACATATGGTCAAGAAAAACCCAAACTTCGAATACTTGATGCATTAGCATGGCAAACATTTTTGCTCTACTCCGATAAGATTATTACATAGTTCACAAATAAACCAAACCAAAGGGGTAAAAAAAAAAAGAAACTAAAATTTTATTTAACAATTATTTACCTTGAGTTGCCTCTAATATTTTGCATCAATGAAAAGTTGCTTTTTTTCATCGATACCACAACATCAATCATTGTAGGTCGTGCCTCAGGTATATTGGTGCAACAATTTAAAGCCAGCTCCAAAATTGATGACATATGTGGTACTACATCACCAATATTTTGATTGTGCAGCAAATTTGGATCTAGAATATTGATAACAGAATGTGGTGTTGATGTGCTAACCCAATCTTTCAAACTTAGACTTTCAGCAAACATATCATCTGTTGGCTTTTTACTTGTAAGCATTTCCATTAACAAAACACCATAGCTATACACATCTCCTTTAATGGAAACAGCTCCTTTTGATCCATACTCTATATATCAATTAGAATTGTCAGTATAAATGCCATTGTGTCAAAAAAGAATGTAATATATGTGTCATTAAAATTCATTCTTATTAATACAATAAATTCATGCATGTAAGACAACAAATATTTTGTTAGTAATTGAATAACATACTTTATTAAGGTAGTAAACAAAAACAATGCAAACGATTAAAACTAAAATATAACTAGTAAATGATTACCAGGTGCCATGTAACCAATTGTAGCCAAAGTTTTTGTATAAATTTCCAACTCTTCTTCCCCCATCAATTTAGCTATACCAAAATCAGTAAGATGAGCCACCATATTTTCATCTAACAAGACATTGCTCGGTTTTACATCACAATGAACAACTGGTGTAGAAGAACCATGATGAAGATATTCTAATGCAGCTGCCACATCAATCATTATACTCAACCTTTGTAGGATGTCTAAATAGTTGTCATGAGAGTATAACCATTTGTCAAGACTCCCATTTGACATGAACTCCATTATTAGACACTTCAAATGATCATTTGAGCAACTACTAATAACCTTAACAAGGTTGCGGTGTCGTAAATTGCATACTACAGTACACTCAATATCAAAACTCCTTAATGCTTCATCCAAGTTTGAGCGAAATACTTTAACCGCAACGACCTTTCCATTTGGAAGAGTTGCTTTGTATACTGATCCATAATATCCAACACCAAGAAGATTACTCTCATCAAATCTATTTGTTCCATGCAAAAGATCATAATAGGATATCCTAATTGGTATCCCCACATTTATTAAATCATTGTTCGTTGAACCACTAGCATACACATCACTCTTACGTCTTAGAAAGACAATGCATGAAACAACCAGAATGACAACCACGATAGGAAGTGAGCATTTTATCAACAACTTCACTTTTTTTGTCATGTAATTCCTTTCTTTTCTGCATGGTTGGACTTGTAGTTGGGATTTTCCACAAAGATCTTTATTCATCATAAAAGACTGAGCTGTAAAATTTTGAAAAGGGCCACCTTCTGGAATTTCTCCATGCAATAAATTATATGAAAGATTGATGTATTTAAGATGGAGTAATGACTCTAAGGACTTTGGAATCACACCAGATAAATAATTGTGGGAAAGATCCATGGACTCAATGCTTATCATGCCACTAAGCGATTCAGGTATAGGTCCTTGTAAATTGTTGTGAGCCAAAGATAGATTTTGCAAAGTTTGCAAGCTACCCATAGTTGTAGGGATGCTTCCTGAAATTTGGTTTCTTGACAAATTCAGTAGTATAATTGCTCTCATGTTTGATACCTCTGGTGAAATTATTCCACTGAGTTCATTGGAGGATATGTCTAAAACCAATATATCTTTGAGACTCCAAATAGAAGAGGGTATATGAGAAATCAATTTGTTAGAACTAAAATCCAACTTCCGCAATGAAGTATTCTCGAGGCATCCTGGAATTGCTCCTGAAAACATGTTGTTGGCAAGATACAACTCACTTAGATTTTTGAGTTGGCAAAGTTCGTTTATAATGGACCCTTGCAATCTATTATCACTGAGACTTAAACGTTGAAGGCTATGTAATTTGTTAACCATATTCGGAATCAACCCATTCAGATTATTCCCATTCAAATCTAATTCCACCAAGTTCCTTAAATTTCCAAGTACTCTGGGTATAGCTCCACTAAATTTATTCCATGACAAACCTAACATAGTAAGTCTAGATGCATTTGATATACTCTTTGGAATTTGTCCAGTTAGTTCATTTTCATCTAACCATAATGTCTTCAAGTTGGGAAGTCCAATTCCTAAATATGATGGTAGAAGGCCAGAGAGAGAATTCCAATCAAAACGCAAGAGCGTTAATGTTGAAATGTTGAATATATCAGAAGGAATAGGTCCTTTCAAATTATTCAAGCTCATATCTAAGAGTTCAAGTTTATCAAGTTTGCCTATGCCTCTGGGTACAAAACCTGTACATAGAAAATTGATGGGAATCATGACTTTTATATATACATATAAATATATATACACCTCAGAATATATACAAATAAATTTATTTATATTATTTTTTAAGTCTTTAAAAAAAATTTTCAAGTGAAAAATCAGCGGAAATCATAGAAGACTACCTTTTAGATGTCACAGTTATAGAAGATTTGTTTAAAAATCAAAGTTTATGGTGTGATAGGAAATTAATAAATTTGTGAAATAGAAAAGAAACAATTGGCAAAATTGGCAAAAATAAAAAACAGCAAAAGGTTGTATTCTTTAATTAAGGGTCGAAGGGGGAAAAAAGAGTTGAACTTAATTGGAGAACAATAGAACATGTAAGTGTGTGGATAACATGTGGGTACCTTATATATGATGTTGTGCTTTTTCATTGAATAGAGTATAACTTATACAAAGTACTTAAATAATGTTGTCTTCCAAGTTTTAAATATCAAGTGGCCCCATCAGCTCGTGATGCCATCTTTATTTTATTTTAGAATTGTATGAATGAATTTAAAATCGAAAAACAAAATCTCATAGACTACCATCAATTCATGATTTGATCTTTTGATATATTGGATTGTAAATTATTAGCTATATTTAAACCCCCCACTGGGAGTAGTGCAATATTAATGAAATGATGAAAAACATAATCCCAATTTAAATTTAGTCTATAAAAAAATGATTTTAAAAGCAAAGAAAATAAAATAAGATATAATAATCTCATGGTTGTAAAAGATTGGCAACCAAGTATAATTGATTAGACTTATAACAGGAAAAAATAAAGCAAGTCATATTATTTGCATATAATAATATATATGTGTACTATTAAAAAAAACTCCACGTGTCTTATTAATATTCGGAAGGGCGGAAGCAAATTTCTTAACAAATTGCATGTGAGTCTCTCAAGTTTAACCATATAAATATTTTGCGCGTTGCCAATAAATCATGTGTGTCATGAAGCATTAAATTATTTTTTCAGCAATTTTTCTCTCCAGGAGATTTTTTATGGTACAGTTGAAGTGAGAAATTATGAAAATATACTTTTCTCCTCCTGGTGATTTTGTATACTTCGAATGGATGTGCTGAGAGAAAAAAATGGTTACTGTTTATTGTCTCTGTTTGAGAAAGAAAGAAATAAAGAAGGAGGAACCAATCTGAATGAGAAAGAGAAGATATATAGGTGTTTCAAGTTTCAACTTTTAAGAAGCAAATTTGAATCTGCTGTTCAAGGAGGAGAGAGGCATAAAAAGGTGACCTCGTGATGTGTTATGGAGAAGAAAGAGTCTAATATTTGCGAGAGAGAGAGAGAGAGAGGTACAAAATAATTATTAAAAAAAAATTGTATTGGGCTGTGAGGAAAAAGAAGGGGAAAAAGAAAAAAGAAATTAAAAATAAAAAAAATTATATGCATAATTATTTTGTAATATGAGTAGCCATTCAAAAAATATTGTTTTTTTATAACTAAAATATAAATACCTTTACTTATTTTAATTATTACTGGTTTAACCTGGTCTAACCCAATAAGATTCATTGAATCTGTACCTATTGTTTTAACCGGTTTAGTATCCGGTCCGATTTTTGTTTGTTGGATTTAACAATTTGACTAACTATTGAAAACATGTTGTATTTTTTTTCATTAATTTGAACTTAAATTTGGTTGAATAAGTGTTTTTTGAGTTTCATTTAAATTTTTTTTAAATTTTATTGGTAACTGATTTTCTATAATTATCTAAATCATTTTTTTGTTTATTGTACATTTTTCAATTCCTACAATACAAATTTTTAAAATTATTACATATATTAATACATTTAAACAATATAGAATTGTTACAAGTTATATATAATAAAGAGAATTTTTCTCAAAAAATATATATAATAAATAAATTATATATAACTTTTCTATCTTACTAATTTAATATCATAAGGTTCCGTCTATTCATAATCTTTGCTTTATTTGTTATTTTGGGATTGTAATCACTAGCTATATGAGTCCTATCATAAGTGCATACAAAATATTAAAAAAGAAGAAAACAAACACATATAAATACATACCTATAAATGAGTTACCACTCAAATATAATCCTTTCGAAGATGTGCAGTTACTTATTGATTTTGGAATGATTCCCTCTAATTGATTATCAGTAGCAACAAAGGCTTCAAGCAAAGGGAGATGATGACACATTTCCTCTGGCAAGTTACCCTTTAAATGGTTGACGGCAACATCAATCATTCTCAAGGAAGGCATGTTCCAAAGAAATGAAGGAATTTTGCCTGTAAATAAATACAAAATATTTGTTAATTACTTGGTAGTATGGCAAGCAACTTCCTAATAAACTCACACACATATAAGCATATAAATAATACATGGAATTTTGATAATTAGAGGCTTAAAAGTAATAGGAAATAATTCAGTTTTTAGGTTGACGGTCATTTAAAAAGGACTCCTCTAATCTCAATGATTAATTGAACATTAAATTTCTTTCAAAGAAGGATTGCTAAAGAGAGACTATGGATTTAGCCTCAACTATATGAAATAAACATCCAAATTATTTATATTTTGCATTAAACTTATTTAATATTTACAAGGCTCACATTTTGAAATCTGAGGATGAGTTCATTATGGGCAAGAAAAAAATGGAAGGCTAGAATTTAGTTTTTATTTAAGGAACTAAAATACTTTCGGTTGCACATTGTACAGATATAGTACAGATAATAACAACTGTATTTTTTTAAAAGAAAAATGGATTGCGTTAAACATATCAAGTGTACTAGAATTTTGACTCTTACCCTCCGTTTAGATGGAAAGAAAGTTGGCAAGAAAGAAAATAAACAGAAAGAAAATGGAGTGAAGAAAAAACTTGAGAGAAAATATTATCATATCAAATGTTTTAATGAATGAGAGAAAATAGAAAGAAAAAATAATTAAATATTTAAATGACTAAAATATCTTTTTTGCCATGACAAAATATAAATGTTTGAAATTGAATAAGATATTAAAATAAAAAATCATATTAATATAATAATATTTACATTGTGAAATAATTTGATAGAAGTGTTACGTTTTGGGATAACAATAAAAGTGATTAATTTTTTAAAATTAAATAAAATAAAAATAAAAATTATGTATGGGAAGCCACTTAATCATATACGAACTACCAGTCTATCACAAACTCAAGGTTTTTTTCTCCTTCTTTTAATTGAAAAAAATGAGGTTTTTAAACTGCAATATCGTTTTTGCCCCCAAAAAAAGAAAAAGAAAAGCAAACTGCATTAACGTTGGGGATAATAAGAGCAGCCATAACGTGAAATTCAGTTTTGCCATGAGTTTCACTCACAAAAATCATAATGAAGAGGGGTGGAGGTGAGAGCAGTAATGGAAGGTGTGTTTTTTCCCTCTCATTTTCTTTCCATACGTGGAGAGAAAATTTGAGCAAAAAATATAATGGATCTCACATCTCATTTTCTCTCCTACTTTTTATTCCTCTCATTTTTCTCTCCTAGTTCTCTTCCCCCCAAACTTTTCTCTCCATCCAAGCATAGGGTTAAAACAATCTCAATTAAAAAATTTGCAAGCAATACAGAATAAGTATAAATAAAAAATAAAATCAATTAAGCATAAAATAAAGAAATGGGTTGATTGGGCATACCTGTAAAGAAATTCCATGATAAACGTAATTCTTCCAACAATGTCCCATTGCCACTTGATATTGGAAGACTACCATTCAAATTGTTTTTGTCTAAACCCAGAGTAATTAAAGAAGAAATGTTGAGGAGAGATGATGGGATCTCACCTGTTTCAATTTAAAAGAGGACAAGATATGAGTTATATATATATTTTGATAAGAGAATTGGATGTATCATAAAAATCTTCTCAAAGGCAAATCCTGTCATTAAAAAAAAAAAACATTGCGTCCACTCATGAACATTACAAACACGAAACGTTTTTAAAGCGCATAAACTGAATAGCATGTTGAAAAGAAACAGATTACTTTATATATAAAAACAAACAGCAAACACATATTTCTCATGATCCAAAACACATTTGAACTTTTTTTATATAATCAAACTGCCCAATGTGAATTTTTATGTTTTTTTTGTTTCAAATATGGTTTTTAAAATCGTCAACCAAACATCTTTTTCATCTTTTATTCCCAAAACTTATTTAAAAAAATTATAGAATTGTTCTGGAAAAAATAATTTAAAAAAAACAAGCCATTTATTTTTCTCGTTATAAATATCAAGTGGTCCCATCAGTTCTTGATTTTATATTTCTTTTAGTTTGGCATTGTAATCAAAAGCTATATATAAGCCCCATTCTATGAATCAACAATATATAAGCTTCCGCTATGAATATATA